ATTATCAAGGTCTGTCTTAAGACATACAGCAGGCAAGAGGTGAGATGCAGTGCAAAAGCAGCCTGATGCACGACATAAATGCACATTTGCAGATGCTGCATTCTCACATCAGTTCATTTGCAGCAGAAGTTTTACTCTGGGTCTGGAAGTAGAAAGTCTGGGTGTCATAAGAGTGAAAAATTCTGCTGTTTGTATTCACACATGCATACATAGACTGTTGCTCAGCGGTATAAAGTTTCCTCCTGCTCACATTAAGGTCAATTTTGCATTTCATTTCAGGTCCTTGAGTCTGGAGGAAGAGTAGAGTCGAGTTTCATATCATCTGCTGCAGTTGGTCATACATGTTTTATCAGGTTTCAAGTCAAAGCAGCCGTCTACCAGAAGATATTTGGGGCACTTTTACTTCCTGACAACATTAATGGAGATGCTGGTTCCCCACAGCACCAAAACTACTTCTGCTGTCTTTAGACATTAGCTTAACCAAATACTTGAGTCGACTGTATGGAGGACGAAATCCCGGTAAAGTTAGGGGAAAAAAAACTTGGGGCCATTTGCATTCACATATGCAAATCATCTGCAGAATTTCAGGAAATTAAGAGTGGATGCACACATGAACTGCATGAGGCTGGACAGAGTACTAAAGCAGACTCATCTGTCATCTATCTGCAGTAAAGACTGTGTACGAGACTGTAAGGTCCAAAAAAACTCGGAGCAGCAGAGAAGTCAGAATTTTAAATGCTTTACAAGTTAAATAATAGATTCAACAAGTTTATTTGAAAAAGCATGAATCACTACTTGAATACTGGCTACGAAGATTTGCAGTACGTCTGGAGTGATTACAAAATAATGGGCTTGTTTTTCGCTTTTCTGCACAATAATAGCGCATTATTCACACATCACTGCAGATGTCTTTATGCTTATTCAGGAGAGTGGTCAGTCGAAAAATTGCCTCCCTCGTGTGCAGACGTCAGACCGCTGGATTAAGCCAAATGTTTTTAAAATGTTATATCAGGCCACGAGCACGCTGAAGCCATCTAAAAAAACACTCCTGCGCCGACTGAAAACTAATCTTTCCCAGACATAAAACCCCGTGAAGAATAATGGTGTTGTACTGATTGTAGCGCCCCCGGGAGCAGAAAGTCTTTATGCATTATTTGTTTAAACGGGAGCTGTGAAGCCAGGAGGATATAAACCCACAGCGGGAATTTAAACAATGGGAACTTACATGTACACTGAAAAAAAAGCACCTTGTTGTTGTGTCTGCAGCCAAAGGAACCGGCCGATTTGTTTCCCTTTAATGGGAAGTTAGTTATTGTGGGGGATAAACTTCCTGCAGGGAAACAGCGAAGGATGCAGTACAGGGACAAACAACATTTCTCTTGTTTACCAGATCAGTGGAGTATACAGAGGGGTGCACACCGTATAGGCCGGAGGAGGAGCAGCTGGAATAAAGCTACACGCTGTGAACAAACAGGCTGCCAATTCTTATTTATGGAGAAACCAAACAAATCTGATGTTAGAGGAAATTGTTCTGCATCTGGAAACACTGACAACAAGCTCCCACAGCTGTTGGAAGTCAAGATAAGCACATCACCCAGCGGAGGAGACTTTCTTTGACCACAACTTACAAACACAGAAGATACTTAAATTCAGACTGGAGCTGGGAGCCTCACTGCTTCATTTTGCAAAGCTGTCTAGATTTTCTCAATATGTGGATCAAAAGTCTGTTGCATCTCTGAGCCATTCTGGTCAAAAGGTGCAGGTGCTTTTTCTACAGCCCCATAATCCAAGTGAATTGCTAGCCTGATGTTACCAGACCCATCAGCCAGCTCATATTTAGGTCTTGAACTGCAGTCATATCCTCAACGATCTCCTCAAAGGGTTAAATCTACCAAACCAATCACACTCCTGAAAGATGATGTCACGGGAGCGCTGCATCAGCTTATTTGTAAACAACCAAGATGGCGGCTACCACTGCTGAGTCTACTATGGCAGCACTTTTCCTCCGCATGCCTCTGTCTGTTTACATTTCTGCTGCATTAATCAGATTATTATAGGTCGGTGCAATAAATGCGACAGTTGCAGAGTCTTGCTGCACCAGATTAGCAGCGTGCAAAAAATTACAAACAAATCTGCACAAAAATCTGAAATGACTGTAACTTCGGTTGAGTGTTTCTGTCAAATTACTTTTTAATTCTGTTCATCCTAGTCAAAATTTCATTAATGCTTGAAAACATACAGCATGTGGAACCATGTGACCCAGTCTAGGTCAGTCTGCAACATGGAGGAGCAACCAAAAACTGAGCAACTCTGTAGAAAACTGCTGTATCAGGTGTTTGGACACTGAAATCAAAAAATAGTCAAACAAAAACACCTCCAATCTGCTCCAAGACTTAAAATACAATCATGGTAGCATGTATATGAACAGTGCATGGCTCAAGTATTAAAAATAAGCAACAAGTGCCTCCACAAAGCAGCTGTCAATAACACTCACATATGCAAATGCTACACAGTCTGATGAGGATTTAATTAAACTATTTCAATGATTAGAAATGTTCTCTTTTGTTATTGAAATGATCCGCCTTTCAGAGTTTATAATACTTTTTTAACTGAGGGCAAACAAACAAAAACACTTATTAAGAGCAGCTGCGATAAAAAGTTCAATTAATGATGACACTGATTTGAAGCCGGATCACGCAGCACTATAAATACAAATGTTGTTTTTTTATTCTGGTAATAGAGACTAAATAATCACTTTTTATTTACGGGAAATGTTCCTTTTTTTATTTCTCCTTTTCATAAGGAAGTAATCATAATTACAATGTGATCTGTGGTTACATGATGATAAAGCAGATTTACAAATCAAAACCACTTCTCACTTTGGTGTCCCTGTCTGATAAACTGACACAAGAAAAAGGTTTTGAGATGTAAATTGAAGTTTTTTAGTGTCTTACAACCTTCGACAAACATGCAACAGAGTTTAAAGTATGATGAAAATGTTGCATTAGTAAGCACTAAAGGTTAAGGGAAGGTTAAGAGTGGTTTTTTTTTAACTTGTACATGCCAGGTACAAGTGTTTTTGTGCAGGTTTGTAGAGGATTGCACTTGCTCTTTAGCAAACATGCACCAAAAACAAAACAATTTGCTTGACTGGAAGACAAACTCTAATCTGATGTCCGGAGCTCTCAGCTTTGACAAATGCTTTTCTCATTTCTGTATTGAACCAAAGCGAATGAGAAAAGGCTGAAAAACTTGATCAGCTGCTGCTCTGTGATGCTTTCATCGCCCCCTATCGTCTGCATGGAGGAACTACAAGAACCCCGTCCATTCAAAAATGTTGAAGCGCAAATGCAGCCAAATGACCTGCATCCTGCACGCGAGCTCACACACCATCACGAGCCCCAAAATATGACGTCAACGTGGTATCATTCATTTTATAGATTATAACAAATACCGGAATTGATTTAATTAGAAAATATAATTGATTCGGGATGATTGGAGTAAATTAATGTGTTTTTTTCATTGGATTTGGTCTACAGAACATACTCCGTTAATAACTGGAGACCAGTGTAACCAGCAGCACCTCAGCTCACAGTCACTTCATCATGTCGGCTCTAAACAGTCAGCTACTCAAACATCAAATCCACTCAGTATTTTCACTTTCTCACATTTTTCACCTGCTTTAGCGCCTGAAAACAACTTTAGCCTTCGTCTCCCCCGTTATCAGCCCTTTTCCAGACACTTTTCACCACTCTTCACTCTTCAGTCTGGCTACAGCTCCTCTCTCTCAGCTACAGCTTTGGCTACTTTTGACCTTTCTAGTCGCTTCGGAAGGAGAAAAAACCCTCTCTCGGTTCTTACCTGGCAGTAGGAGAGGCAGCCTGTCCAGGTACGGAGCTCGGTAACACCGTCAGATATCCGTAAAGAGTAAAAACCAGTAGAAGCGCTGTTGGTCGGTCTCACACCTCCGTGTGTCAGCCTGCAGACTGAAGCAGTTCAGAGCTCCGAGAAATCCATCCAACACACACACAGCACCTACCTCCGTGACGACAACACGCACAGAGAGCGTAGCCCCGCCCACTGACGCTCGGACAAACTCCTCTGTTCACTGACCGCTGTGACGGATTGTTATTATGGCCGTGTTGGATAAACCACAGGAAAAAGGAGAGACAGAGCTGTGTGTCCTTTACGGACTACAAGAGAGTAACGAGCCTGCTGCAGGAGCGGACTCCGGCGGCCTCGTTTCCATTCACAGAAAGACTATTTTAGACTGAGAGTCCACTCAGACCAACAGTGGCACCATCTGGTGAAGTGGAGGAAAGTTGGTCTTCAAATCTGCATCTGAATGTATTTTTATTTCAGTTTTATTGGACGTGTCTAAGAACATCTCAGGAGGACAGAAGTGAAGAGGCTCACTTGTACACTTTTTTAACATGATCAATTTATTCTGTTGATCACGTTTACTTCCTCGGTCATTTATTTTTCTTTTATAGCCTCTCCTGCTATTATGGGTTTATTCTGATGTGACATTTTAAGAGGTTGCTGATTTATTTCTCCTCTGCTGTCATGGTCTATTTATTTGGTTTTGTCTCTTAAAACCCTTTGTAGTAATAATAGTAACTGTTATAAATGTAAACAGAAACCAACACAATAATGATGATAAACACAATAAGAGTAACAAAAATAACAATAAAATTACTAATACAGCCTCTGTCATGAGGGTGTAAATGTGGTTTGAACGGGTTTATATGAGATGTACAAGCACTGTAAATGGTCAACAGACTAAGAAACAGGTGATTTATCATATCTATAGGCATTACTTTGTATTTAACATTAAAATAAAGTTAAATTTCTGGCTTTATCAGAGCATGCGTACTAAACTTTATGTCTGAACAGAATCAAATATAAAGTAAAAAGTGGTATTTCATTGTTTTTCACGGTAAAACTACATTTCCCAGATACACAGACATATTGTATGACGTCAAAGACGCGCGACATTGGTCTGTTTCCATGGAGCTGATAGAAGCTAAAAGCTCGTCTTTTCCGATTAGCCTGCAGCGATGTAGTTGATCTGTTTTTAGTTTTTCCTCTTTGTTTTTTTGCATTTTTGAGCTTTTACGATGTCAGGACAACAAAATAACGACAAAACGGAGACTCTGTTTTCATTTGAGCTTTTGGTGGAAAATATCCGACTTGATGAAGCAGGTAAAGTTTCCGATCAGCTGGCTGTAGGTGTGAAGCTGCTGGATTTCCCCACCCTGCTTATTTACCAGCCCCGACAAAAGAGTGACGGAGAAACCCGAGAAAACCCTGATGTTAGAGATGAACACGTCTTCAACAGAGGGAAGTGCTGCTTCTTCAAAATGAAGCTGAGCTGTCTGCACACTCACCTGTCCAACACTCCTCTGTATGCCATGGTGCTGGATGTGAAAGAGGAGATCCCAAAGTTAGTGGGGACTTCTCTGATCTCCCTGAATAAAGTGATGAAGAGGATCAGACAGGATGTGATGGAGAACGGTGTCTCCGCTCTTTCGTCTTACGGCGAGCGGGGCCTCGTTGGTGTTTGCAGCCTTACAGGGGAGAAGATTGGATCCATATCTCTGAGTTATAAACTGCAAAGTCTGGGGGGAAATTTGCTCTCACATGCAACAGAAGGCAGCAATGCTTATAGTGGAGAACATGTGCAAGAGAGCAGGACTGAGGAGAATAAATCTGCAGATTCACCCCCGGCATCTTTACCTGCACAAGATATTTATGAATTTCCAGATAAAGAAACATTAGAAAATGAAGATAAACAGGACAGCAGTGTTTATGTTGCTGTGCAGAGTGAAGAAACACCCCAGACATTTAACGAGGATAACTTTGGAGAAGATTCAACCATATTTCGTCCGCCTCATCTCTTCTTTTGTAACTCTGCAGAAGAAAAAAGCACAAATAAAAGCGGCGATTGTCCATTTTTGAATCCTAACTCTGCAGCTTTTCAATTTGAGGACACGTCCTCTGAAGAAGGCGATAAAACTGGGGGTGTAAGTTCCCCTACGGAGGCCCGGAGAGGAAAACATGGTGTAGAAATGCAGGAAAACAAAGGAACAAGTGGTGTAACACCAAATCTCCACGGGGAAGCCGTACAACAGTTGCCTCTGCTGAACGCTCTTCTTGTCGAGCTGTCACAGTTGAACAGACAGACTCCACAGCAGTCCCTGTCTATTCATCCAAATCTAGCCTGGATTTACAGACCTGCTTCTGCAGAGCCGTCAGCTGTGCAAAACAAATCATTGCAGGCGCTCAGTCCAAGTGTAAAGCGCTTACACTCCCCAAGAAACTGCTCTACACCTTTGTTTAAGCACGCATCTTTAGGAGGGAAAGACAAACAAGAAGAGAGGAAAAGTTACAGCACGTCTCCGAGGAAGAAGCTTGTGTTTGGTACGACTAAAACCTTCAATCTGAGGATGAAGCAAATTTCTCCTGATAGAGCGAAACGGCGAGAATGCGTGGAGTTAAGAATACAGAGTGAAACACGAGCAAGTCAGGTAAAAGGAAAGAAAAAGTCACACAAGAAGGTTAGCAAAAGAAAAGCAGATGTAAAGAAGCTGCCCTCGAGTCTTAATGAAAACATAGAGACGGTAATAGAGAGTGTCAAAGAGGACGCTTCACTCAAAGAAACCATCACACTGAAACAGAAAGGCCTGAGTAAACAAGACAGACACTCTCCAGGAAAGTCAGAGAAAGCACCTCTTTCTGAAAGAGACTCCAAGTTTATTGACATCCCGAGTGTAGGAAGTGACATTTTTGCCGGAAACAAAGAGGAGAAGGAGCGTCAGAGTGGATCAAATCAATCACAGTCAGACAGAGGCGGAGAGAACATCCACTCTTCCAGGGGCAGCAGCACAAAATCTTCAATTTCAGACTCTGCTGGTGAAGGAAACGACGAGGAAGACTACGCTGATGACTTTAACAGCCTGGAGCCCAGTGAGGCTTACTCTCCTGACCCCATGAGCAGCCCTGAGTCTTCAAGAGCCAAGACCCCAAAACCACCGGTGCGTCCCGCCTCTGGCTCCAGCTCTGAGGGTCCCCAAAGGAGAGCAGCCCTCCCTGTGCCTATAAAAGCCCCCGCCTCTCCTCCACAGAGGACTCTGAGGGGGACACACGTCATCCGACCCAGAACCCAGGCCTCGGCCCTCAGCTTCTCCTCCGACGACTCTGACAAAGACACATCAGCTTCTTTACAAACAGTTCTCTCGAGGAAACAGACGACTGAGAGCAGCAGAGGGGACAGGAGCTCAGGCGCTGACAGTTTAATATCGTCAAGAGGTCAGAGGAGCGAGGCGAGCAGGAACAGCAGAGCAGCTCCGGGAATCTCTGCAGAATCATTTTCCTCTTTTGATCTGCAGGAGGTGGAGGAAGAGTTGGATGAGCTCGGGTCGATGGATTTCAGGAAGGGGTATCAGCACATCTCTGAGCTGGTGGCAAACAAACTCCCTGGTTACACCATGTAAAGACAGAAATAGTCAAATATGTGGTTATAAGACGGCTTCACAAGCTCTCTAATGTGAGTGACACAGAGGAGTCGGTGTTTATGGACTATTAGGTTTACCATATAATGAGGTGTGTGGGTGTTTAATAAGGAACATAAAAAAAGACTGAAACGCTGCTGGTTTGGATCGAGACTGTTGTTTTTTATTAGACAGTATTTTAAGCAAAAGATTATAGATCATGCGAGGTTGTGTCCCATCCATTTTAGAATATATTCAGCTTGACGGGGTATAAACTTGTTTTTAAAGTTCCTGTGAGGATTTAGGAGCATCTTGTGAGAATATAATGTCATTTAACCCCCAGTGTTATGGAACGTGAGCTCGGCAGTATCAGAAGTATCAGGACTCTGAATCGATCGTACATGAAAGTGGATCTGTTATGAAGACAGGCAGGTCAGGAGGCAGCGTGCGCTCGCTCCTGCAACCTCTGCTTTTTGTCAAATTAACTTCAACTCCACAAGATGATCCATGTTCCTCATTTTAATGCAGGCAGACAACTTCTCTCCTAAAACCACCTTAGGGTTTTTATTGTAACCTACAGATAGGTCAAACCTGTAATTATAACCGCTTTTCTAACATTTACATCCACATGAGTAGTAGGACCTTAAATTCAGGAGGATGAAAATCAAAATCTGTTTATTATAACTCTCAGGTGCACGAGTTTGTTTAATTTTTTAAGATGTTTGGCGCATGATAGTAAAAAGAGATTAAATGAACTCTTCACAACAAGTACACAGAAGTACTCCCCCTGTCAAGAACTAAAATTATGGGATATAATATTTGTAAATGATCTACAGTATATATAAAATATATTTTAATGTGTACTAAAAACTTTTTGCATTTCAGGTATAATTTTTCTTAAATAAAGACAAGCTGTCGCAGAGGCTGTTTTATGTTGTGATCACAGTTTTTTTAACACCATGCTGCTGCACATTTACACTGAGTGTTGGACCATTAGTCTTTGAATAATATATGAGGAGATAAAGTCCATTTATTCACACATTTATTTTTAAATTATGAACCTTAAAAGATCTCATTTCTAGTTTTTACAAGCTGAAAATCAATTGCTGATTCAGGGAGTATCATCTAAATAATACCTGCTGCTTTACAACTCAACGGAGGTAAACAAATCTGAGACTGTTACTCTGTTTTATATTATACACTATATGTGCTGGAATAAGATAAATAACAGGCCAAGTAGCATCACGTGTAGAACTGCAGATATTCCCTGTAAAATTGGGGCTTTTATTTTGAAAAGCAGGCGCCGTTTGTCCACGGTGTTCGAAGTTAACTCAAAAATATTTTTATTTCAGTTTTGAGACGACTAATGTGTTGATTTTATGAACTAAACTCTCTAAAATGAACTGTAGTTTGCAGTTTTAAAGTTCTGAAATGTCGTAGGCTACTTACCGCGCATGCGTCAGCTCACTGTGTACGGAAGTGCTGCAGCAGCATGTTGAGTGGAGAGAGCTGAAATGATCAAACACGTTTTCCTGACAGGACCTCCAGGTAACCCAAAACAAACTCTGTGGACAAAACTGTTAAAGTTGAAGTCTCTTAAATCAACAACAGTCAGTCAGTCACAGTCAGCGCTTTTGGAGTTAACGCTATAGAAATGTCGTCTGTTTAAACTCAGCAGTAAAGTAGGATAGTGAGGAAAACGTGAAGATCAAAATCCTCATGATGAATGTCAGATCAAATTTGGCTGCATCTTATTTCTGCAAACGCAACAACTTTGATGAAAAGGATCGTTTGGAGTAAATCAAATATTTAGTCACATATCTGAACATGCTTCTCTGGGTGGACAGTACATTTTTCAAGGCTGTGATGAGGTTTCTGCACAGCAAACATTTATAATGATACAAATCATCAATTTCAAAAACCTGAGATCTGCATTTTCTCTACATTCAACCATGGAGACATGCAACACACAGGCACGGAAACATCACACACAGAACTACACAAACACAAGTTATTATAGGAATATTGTGGAGTTAAAGGTGTGATTGAATACACAATTAAAGTATAAATAGTCAAAAAACACCCACTTTTTCAAGTGTATATACTTTGTTTTTGTCCACCTCTTCAGTCATGCAAGGAAGGTAAACCAACTTTCTCAAAGAAGACATTGATGTTTGCAGAAACCCAAAACTGAATGTAATCAAAGTCAGTTTCAGACACAAATCTCTATGGAGGACATTCATTTATACTCTCTTTTTGTGCGAAACACAAGATATGTTTCTGAAAAGAGGGAAAAGTCACATTATATGTACAGAGGGACTCATTTAATCACCTGATTAATCATCAAAAACATCTTAACTTCTTACATAAAGGAAGAGATGTTGAGGAAGAGATTTGTTAAACCCTAAAATAATCACTGTACTGTTGGGGTGAGTTTTTAGTCAGTGCAGTGATATCGATTTATCTCTGTTCACATTCTCAGTGTTTCTGCATGAATAAACTGTACAATCATTTTGCAGTGAGATCCTGAGATGCTGCACCCTTAATAGTAAATAGGGAATGTCTGTGTCTTTTGTTTTGCTCACAGGTGTGGGTAAAACCACTCTGGTCCAGAAAGCCTGTGAAGCTCTGGTGTCATCAGGAGTGGGAGTTGAAGGGTTTTACACAGAGGAGGTCAGAGCGGGGGGCCGGAGAGTGGGCTTTGATGTGGTCACAGTGACAGGAGAGAGAGGCCAGCTGTCCAGAATCAGGTAGCAGACACGCAAACGCAGAGACCTGCTCTCTCTGAAACGTGCTGTTTCTAGTAATCTTCATTTTATCTTAACTTGCAGAGATGTTTCTGGGCCGTCTCACGGCAGACGGGAGTACACAGTGGGACAGTATGTGGTCGACTTACCTTCATTTGAAAACCTGGCTCTCCCCCTCTTCAGAAATGTAAGACCCCATCACACGCTCTTTACACGCACCTTCATCAGCACATCACAGCGAGAGAAACTCCCCACTTTACTCATCATCAAACCTTTGATTTTCCCTGAATTGATGGAATAATTGGAGGCCTGCAAACACATAAATTCCAGAGTGACATTTTTAGTGTCAGTGGTGCCGTCTGGCTGTCACTGACCGTGATTAATCCGGCATGTAAAGTGAGCCTGGAGTGACGCCTACACGCTCCCTGTGCACTAAGGTGTGTGTGTGTGAGGAGCACAAGGTCCACTTTCATCTCAGCTGAAGAGTCTCTGTAATCACCACAGATCAGCCTGAGTGTGTAACGTGCAAACACTGCAGCAGGGAAAGTGGGATTCACTCCTCAAACATGATGAGGTTTCCCCACCTGTTGGATAATCCTCAGGTCCAATTATGACAAAACCTCTACAGTAACCAATACTGAAAAAACTTCTGATATATCAGTCAGCAGAGATCATAAACACAGCCTGTTCGTCTGTATTTCCATAGCTGCATGTTCAGAGTTCTCTGCCACTGTAAAGTTATTGTTTGAGCTGCAGATGAAGACAGTGGATGTCTCTGAAAATCAAAAATAAAAGGACTGCAACTCGACCCAATCTCCGATCTTGAGAAATGAAGCTGATGCAGAAGTGCTAAAACTGCAGTTCCTAGAGTGTCCACTTGAGGCTGTCTGCAGAAATTACATGCACACTAATACAAAAAAAGCAAATTTCTTGAGCAAAAATAAACATTTACTGTCTAGTTCAAAAAATAGTTTTCAGTCTGCAGAGCTTAGGCCTCCCACAGCGCCTACTAAACGAGGTGATTTATAAGAAAAAAAGTGTTTGTTTCAAAGTTATTAAGATCGGCGATTTAGAGGCACGTCTGACATTGACTGACAGGTGGGCACACTGGAGCTGTTGCCTCAGGGAGGAAACAAGGGTCATCTATAATGCAACGCTCATAAAAAGGAGGGTAAATGAAGAAGAAACAACCGCCTGCTAGTGAATTAGCTAAAGCAGCCTACTGAGAGATAATTAGTCACTTTTAAAACAGATGTGAATCCAAAAACAATGTTAGAGCTTCAGATTACTAAATAACTGAACATTTATACTTTCTGACTGTTCTTGTAACTATTTTCATTCAGATAAATAACTTACGATCTACTGGAGGTTTGCTAAACTACATTACGACCAACACAACATGGAAAAATATCAAGGTTAAAAAAATTAGTGATTGTTTGAACCCAAATGTTGAATTATTCCCTGGAAAAATGGGGAATTTTTCCTGCCTCCTGTGAAGGCAGTAATCAGTAATTACAGATTAACCCTGACCCAACAGTAACCTCTGCCCTGATTGACTTTTTCATGGTTTAGGGAAAGCGAGGATGGAGGTGAAACAATGTCTAAGAGGCAGATGGTCCGTGCAAAAATAACACATTTTAGATGGATCTCATATCGACAGTTAACCTGTGTTTTCCAGCCAAAGCTCTCTGGATGCTCATGTCTGTTGTCTGCAGGTGGGGTCAGCTGATGGCGGTGGCAGCAGGAAGGTGTTCATCATCGATGAGATCGGTAAAATGGAGCTCTTCAGCCAATCGTTCATCAGAGCAGTGAGACAGACTTTAGGCAGCTCCTCCTGCACCATCCTCGGCACCATCCCCGTCCCCAAGGGTAAACCTCTGGGCCTGGTGGAGGAGGTGCGGAGCAGGGGCGACGTGAGGGTCTTCACTGTGAGTATAAATAATAACACGCGCTCTCTGGGGAGAAAAAGAGGGTATTTAGGTCAGTTTGAGTCCAACAATGGCTCCAGCACAGTGTTTACTGTAGCCTCTTGGTCTTATGAGGGCAGTCAGTCTGCTCTCCGTCAGAGGGGCCGTGCCCTGCATTATCCCTCTCCTATAGCAGGATTAACTCTAAATCATGCGTGACTGATTCAACAACAAAGGGTGGTCTCACATGTCAAAATAATTCATCACGGAAGACTCAGTTATGGATATTGTCATGCAAAACGCTCCCTCTCTGGGCCGCTTATGAAAACAAACAAGGTTACAGAGCGGCAGTGAAGATATTTCCAGCAGACGTACAGTTGAAGTTGTAGACTCGATCAGCAGACAGCAGATCGGAGATTAGGTGTTTACAACATGTGGATTGATAATCTGAGAGTGGACACTCTGAGGCTTACAGGTCAACACTGTCCTGTTATTTAGCTTTGCCACTGACACGCTATCTGCACACAGAAGATGTAACTGCACATCAGATCACATAGACGATGACTGAAATAGTAATAGAATATGGTTTCATTCATTCAGCGTCCTCTACTTTGGCTGTTTTTATTGTATTTATTACCTAGAACTTTCTATGTCCCTCCAAAATAAAAGCACATTTAATGGGGAAATGGGGATAGTTAAAAACTAAAAATATTTATAAACTATAAATACTGTAAAAGAGCGCATATATGCACTACCACAACTAGCATCTGAAAGGGGAGCCTCTTTGTCCCTTCAAAATAAAAGCACATTGGTATCAGACAGTGAATTAAAAACAATTTTTAACTGTAATTTAAGCACGTAGAAAAACCTTTGGTGCCCTTCCATAATAAAAGTACTTTGGTATTAGTGAAACAAAAAATAACTGTAATTTAGACATGTAGAGGAAGAACCTTTGGTGCCCTTCCACAATAAAAGCACATTTGGCACCAACAATGGAAATAAAGAAACATTTTGTATGAGGCAGTAAATTAGCAGAATGTACAAACTTATGGTAACCTTTTGTGTCCCTTCAAAATAAAAGCACATTTAATGGCCATAGTGAAAAGGAAGAAACTTTTGGTATGAGGCAATGGGATTTATAATGTGTATGATTCTGTAAGCTAGAGTGAGAATTTTGGTGTCCCTTCAAAATAAAAGCATTTTTTAATGACCACTTTTGGTCCAAGGCAAAATAAAAAGCGGGAAAATTACAGTTTGACGTCTTTACTCCTTCAAAACAAAATCCCAGCTTTGGAAATAGTTTGCGCTGTGAGTTGAGGGTTTCATCACACCCCTCCTGCACACGACATCCTGCTCACCGTTATTGATTCTCGTTTTTTTTTTTCCCCACTCAGGTGTCCAAGGAAAACAGAAATTCTCTTCTACCTGAAATTATAGCAACACTAGAAAGATGCCTGAAACCAGCAGTCTGATTCATCGATTCGAGGCCACTCAAAGGGAGGAACCGTGCACTTTTCACGGGTGTTTGTGCTGACATGAAGTTTTTATCTGTGTCAGTAAGTATTCAGGCAAAGTGTTGAGTGGATCCACACACGCTCCATACTGAGGTTATGACCCAACCTGAAGGGCATGCAGAGCGGCTGTGTGTGTGTGTTACCATGCATGTATTTATGTACAATATTCATTTCTTTCCTTCTCACACAGCCTCAAAATGGATTACATGCTGAATAATTGATTGTGAGATGGAACCTAACAGGAGAATTGTTCAGTTAGTGTGTAAATAACCTGCACTGGGAGAGTCAAACACGTCTTTAACTCAGATCTGTTTTATTTGTCACTTTTACAGCTGATATTTTATTTTAAAACGCTCATTTTTCAGGAACAATGGGGTCTTTTTTTTTTTCCTTGACCCCGATTGTTCTCCCACTTATCTGCTCTGCGGGTCTCTCTTGTGTTTGTCTTGTCAAACTGAGGATGAGCAAATCAATATTTAACGCTGTAACTATGTCCAATCCATTCATGGTTTATTCATCGACAAGCGTGAACAAGAAAATGGAAAAATAAACAGTTACTGTCCTCAACAATGCCGCTTTTTTCCCCTTTTCATTCGTTAAACACAGTCAGGAGGAGATTGTTCAGTTGCTCAGTGGTTTAAAATGGTTTCATACCAACAGCTTCGATCTTCTTTTCATGCTCAGTCGTGCAGATTTCTGCGCGTTTATGCTCTCAGAGTTTCTATCCATGCACAGAGATATTCTCACTGAATGTAGGATTTAATAGAAGATTCCAGGGTGCATTTATGGAGGATTTATTCCGACAGAAAGGCTCAAAAGAGTTCTTACAGCCGTTTGACGGTATAAGCTAGCTGTGAGGAAAACAGTCCAGGCAGGTTCAGTTTGAATAAAAACAGACTAAAATCAGTTTCAGCCTCCACTCTAAAATCAAAATATGTTCTAAAGGATGGATCATGAGAATCAGGATCATGCATGTGCAGCTTAACAGACTGATGTTGGCAAAGAAGTTACAGTTCTTGCTAAAAAGGTGAGTGCAGGTCAGTCAACACTGACTCGTGACCCACATTGTGATCCATCATGGCTTACAGTCGCTGGTAACAACAAACTGGATCTCCTGAAAAGTGCAAACCCAGGAATCCCTGGACGTCAGTAAAAAATCAGGATTATCATGGCTGAGGGTCCAACAAAGGCACTTGATTTTTGCAGTAAATGGGGCACATGCTAAAACTGCACAACCAACCCACGCTCAGTTTACTTCTCTGTCTGATCTTCTCCCAGTTTTTCAGGAACAGTCGCAGTTTATTTTTAGACTAAAGTAGTTCAAGATCATTCAAGGTTCATGACTTTGTAGGCAGTCGGATTTATCACAATCTCGGCTCGTCAGGTTTCCCAAACTCTGCGTGAACTCCCGAGTCTGGCAGCTGTATCAAAGTTTTTATTAGAAACTTTCTGGCAGAGGTTTTTTGTTTTAACACCCAAGCTTCTTCAGGTCATTTCAAAGTGAAAAAAACACTGAAGTCTCTTTCGGCTTGTGCCTGATCGCTGCTTGTATAACTGATGTAAGCTGTCAGTTTGGCTGCAGAGCGAGCTGCCAGCTGTGATCTGCGTCAGACGTGCTGCTGAGACAGCATCTGTTCTGTGGCTACGCTGACGGACCTCTGCTGCATCGACCTGAAACAACAGTCTCGGCATCTTTCTCAAAGTCAGCGCTGCAACAGTCACATTTTTAAACTAGCACTGAAATATGACTCTGCATTGTTATTGTCGGCACACAGAGTCCAGGGTGATTAGATTTGATGGTTCGGTTCGTGGGAGGAGGAGCTGCACCGTGCTGCTCGCTTTGGAAGGTGATCCTGGACTCCCTGCAGCAGGGGAACAGATGGGTTATGTAACAGTGACTCGGACCTGCCAGGTTTACCCAATAAAGGGAGTGTGAGGATGCATCTCATGTGTTATGATGTAATTAGCAGTCACATTAGGACATTGGGACCAAAACATTTACAGCAGGGACTTGAGGCTGGTGTACTTACTGCTGCAAAGCTTCATGGGTAGAATGCACAATAGCTTATCACTGAAATATCATGTTAAAAATCTGTTTTCTTGAATTTTGAATTTTTATTTGATAATGCAAACTTCACCACACTGTCAACACTTGCAGGAAATTTGTTTAGTGGAATCTGCAAAGCCTAATAAGGTCTATATGAAAGAGGATTAAGGCCACAAGGAGAGAAAAAATAATTACAGGAGGGAGATTTTTTAATTTCCATTTCGAGATTAAAGTTGAAATTTAAAAAGTCAAAATGAAAAAAAATCAAAATTTTGAGATTTTTACTTTCTGAAGGAAAAAAGCTTCAGCGGTCAACAGAAATATCAGCCCCTGCCTCCTCTGTCTGTCTGAACCGAGCAAACAATTCACAGGCAGACAGACACAGGTGACATCCATTATACAATCAGTCAGCCTCAGTGACACACACACACACACACACACACGCGCGCGCGCGCACACACACACACACACACACACGCACGCGCGCGCGCGCACACACACACACACACACACACACACACACACACATATACACATACACACACACACACACACACACACACACACTCCCATTACCCCTAGTGACAAGTTAGACAACACATCCCTGCCTCTACAACGTAACTACACTGCTGGGGAAACTTCAACAAACATAGAAAGGAAGTAAAAAAAGACAAAACTGTTGTGAGCTGAGTTATTGGAGCTTCAAAGGTGCAGGTGTTTTCATTGTTTGACGAACATCCCGTCAGCCACCTGGGGCCAGTTCTACGAAGCAAGTTCAACCAAGGCTACCAACCTCCAAGGTAGCCTTGGAGCTACCTCGCTCAACTTAGCGCAGTAGCCAGCGGTCTCGCTAAACGGTCTTACGACACTGGTTATCAACCTCGTAAGTGGATCCAGCTTCGTAGAACAGGCCCCTGCTGACGCATTTTGTCAACTGTTTTGGTACATTAAAAGTCAACATCCAGACAATCCAGAAGGAACGAGCTGAAAGGGAGCATGTCGCCACCTACTGTAGCGGAGGCAAGCCTGCTTCTGTCAACGATTTGATTCTTGCCCGGTGCAAGAAACAAAGTCGAGTTAATCTGCCAAATCAAGCTGTAACCACAGTTGACTTAACTTTGCACATAAACTTTCTGACTGTTGCCACATCTAACTATAAGAAGAATTCAAGAATTAAGATGTTAATTCAAGAAAATAAACACATAATGTTATGAGATACTAGGGCTGGGCGATAAACCGAAAATGTACCGATACCTAAATTTACATCAATAACAGACATCCTTTTGTCCATGTCAGTATATTCGGTGTCAAAAAAATCAATCAATAAAAGTTGGTTTACGATGTGTGTAGGTCGGCTGTGGTCTCATGTCCCTTTAAGACGCTGTCAATGTCAGAGACGTGACTCCACCCTATCCAGTCAGTAACAAAGAGGGAAAGACAGGTGAGGAGATGGAGGACGGTTCAAAAGTTGTAGCGGCTGAAGTAGACAAAGTTAATGTGGGAGGGGGTGAGCAGCTTGTAGAGTAGTTATCGTCCATTTATCGTTATCGAGGTGAACTGCTCAATATATTGTGAAATTGATTTGAGGCCATATTACCCAGTCCTACCAGATACTGAAGATGGCACCACAAAGGGAGCAGAACTCATAATTTGCTCAAAAAGACGTGATAAATTTGCTAAAATTTACAGACACACAGTTCAGATATTCAGCCAAACTTCTTTATGGATGGGTGAGTATCTATTCATATCTATATCTATGTTTAAGGGTACAACAGTTCACTGGACCACTATGAGGGGTTAAATTTAAAAAGACTGATCTTTGATGGGCTGTATCATGATGTGTGTAATATATTCCTTTTCTTTGAAACGGCATTAAAGGTTTCAAAAAGAGGATTATATATTTATCTTTACTCTCAGAGAAGACATTTCCATACTTCAATAACATTTACATTACATTAAAATACTCTCGCCCAGACGTGCGTGCTGTTCAGACTGTAAACACACACTGGGTTTGTTCATACATAAACATTGTGTAACTGCAGCAATTAGACACACTGTCAGGGGGACTGAATGTATTGATGAGCGGGGAGGGGGGGAGGGTTGCGTGACGAGCCGTACAGAAGAGCCTGAATGGATATGAAGTGAATTAATATCCATATCACAGAGATGCATGCTCCATATCTGCAGGACAGATGTCTCAGAGGCTCCCTGTACCCTTTATCCCTCTTCACATGGAGGACAGGGAAATGCAAGGAGCTTACCAACAATCCAGGACAAAGGGAGAGATGGTGGGAGGGAAGCGGGTGGATGGATGGATGTGGGGGAGCTGATGCTTAGATGAGGAAATTTCTCTCAGTTATTGCACTTTGCGGTGGCGGCCCAGGAGGCGCGCTGACAGCTGAGCGGAGGGGAGACACTCTGTGAAATATTGTCCGTGAAGCCCTCGGCCAAAATGCCAAACACAGCTGATGAAAATGTGACATATCGTTCAAAGAGCTTCTGGGAAACCTACCTCCAGCTCCCTGTTGAGCCGGATACCAGATTCTGTTTATTTCCCAAGATGACCACACGGTTTATTGACCCAAGTGGAGCTAAAGCTTCTTAGCATCTGATGTCACATTTACAGATTGTCAGACAATGTCAGAGGGATTGGAAGCCACAATAATCGGGTCATTTGATCTGAGCTTCTAACCGCTGCTGCCCACCGCCAATGAATCCCAAACTGCTCTTCCCGTTACATCACTTTCATGATCCCTCTGAGCACGCCGGAGGCCTCGGTGTTGGGTTTCAAAGTCTGAGAGCGGGTTGCTAACACACCCCTCTGCAGGCCCACCTTTGAACCCGAGATCAAAGTTCGAACAGGCGAAGGAAAGAGGATAAAAAAAAGCAGTTTTAAGTAAGCTAGGGTGACTATATTCTGAATCCACAAAAAGAGGACATGACTGCGCGGGGGCGGAGTCGTGGAGTCATGGAGCCGTGGAGTCTCGCGTAGTTAATTTTGAGAGTTTTTTTTAGTGTTTTTTATGCGCTTTTAACTCAGTAAGTCAACGCGACACAAACTCAAATCTTCCAGACAAAACCCCGAACATTTGAGGGATTTTATAAACTCTCCTGGACAAGGCCGGACAGCCTCAAAAAAAGAGGACATGTCCAGGTAAAGAGGACGTATGGTCACTTCTCCTGCACAAGCAAGTTTCCTAAAAATGTCAGGGTTTGAATGTCCTGAAATGATCTGGAAATGTTCAGGAGTTCATGCATGACAGGGTCCGTAAACACAGACTCATGCATCCCTCCACAGATACAAAGACCATTCCCCGTCCACAGCAGGGGTGGGGTCGCAGCCTGAGGACACCCCTCTCCTGTTACGCCGCCTCTCCGGATCTCCTTGCGGTGACTCCTGTGAGTCAACCAGCTGCAGAACAAAAACTGGACTTTTCCTCACCTGTGGGAGGAAGTGTCACACGAGCTGTGATTAGCGGTCAGGCCGGGGGGAAATGCAAACAACCGCAGGAGCGGAGGAGTGCGTGGGCGTTGTGTTTTGTGCCGCTTGATCACATAATCCCGCAAACAGAGCGGATGCTTCCAGAGAGTGAGGCGACACACAAGTGGAGTGAGTGTTTCCCAGTCTCAGCATGGGAGGGATGAAACCTGCCCGGGGGTTAACTTGTGATGACTCTGTCAGCAGATAATATGAAGGTCAAAGGGCACAGAGAGGACATAAAGATAGAGGTCAGGGTGATCAATCGATCGGCTGGTGCTGCGTCCCTCAGGGGGCTGCAGAGGATGTGGCTTTCAGTCCACAAAAAAACAGAAAAACTTGTCCTAGCTGTCTCTGTTATGGAGGAAAAAGCCAAATATTTGTGAGAAAATAGGTGCCATATGTGCATGCAGCTCTGTGAATTCACCAATTACATGTCAGATGTGGCCGAGGATTATTAACCTGTCAGGGAGAGAGTAAACTAAGAACTTCAGCGTCAGTGCAGGAGCACATGAACATGACCTGTGTGTGTATTCTCTGTGTAAACTGAACAAATGTACGGTATGTTTTACAGTAAGAGCGCTTGAGTCACACAGCCTCCATAATGAATCACAGATTTCTGAGCCGCATGATTAATGCTTCCTCTGAAAGCTTTTGGTAAATTTGCACCACAAACTCTGACTTTCTTGAGCTGTTTTCACTCCACATGCATGAGTGTGTGCACATGCCAAGAGCATGCTGGGACGTTTGGCAGGAATACACGAAGAAAAAGGAGGTGCAGAGGTCGAGCCAAAACCTGATCTTTATATAACCTTTGTTTTTCAGTCTCCTCACCTCACTGTTCCTCTCAGTCTTGACAGTATAACATTTAAGGTGCTTTAAAATACTAGAGGTTTTATAGTATTACACTTCTTTAGTTTAACTCTGTGCACACATTAAAGTACATTTTTTTTTATACCAGAGGGATTTTTTGGGTGTTTTAACAGGTTTGTGTTATAAAATAGTGCTTAATTTACACACAAACACCAGCTGAGTAGAGAGAGAGGCAGAGGTATCAAAGGCCAAAAGCAAAACTGCAAGTATTTCCCCGCATGAAATGACCCAACAAAGACAGAGGCGAAGACAGGGACCATATATACACACTCTGGGAAACGAGCAACAGGTGAGGCAGATGAGACACAGGTGAAACTCATGGGCGATTAATGAAGGAGGGAAAACTAGGGAAGTAGAAACACAAGGAATCAACTCCTACAAAATAAAACCCTAAATAAACCCTGAAAACTGATCTATAGAATAAAACAGGGAGGGAAAGAGGGTCAAACACAAACTGAAAACTCACAAGACCAGATCACGGGAACAATAGGGAGCAGAAACACGAGGGAAAATACACAAAATGCACTCAAATCAAACCAGGAGAACACATGATATGGTGGACATGTTTTTGTCAGTAACTCAACTCTTGGCTGGTGCTTTTAAACTGGGACAAAAACAGAAATCCAGTAAAATCACCAAATTCAGCTACAACGAAAACTGGACCTACCTGTGAATGTAATCCTCCCGATGGAAGCACTTCGTTGATGCTTTTCAAATTAAAAGCACAAACTGTCTCTCCGTGGAGAACCTCCCTTTGTTTCTACACCGTGCTTTTATTTTGAAGAAGACGTTGTATCTAATGCTACAGGCTGCATCTAAGTCACATTAACAGTAAAGGAGTATTCCCTGTTTTTGTGATCTCCCAGCTGCTGTCTGTGTGTAAACTGAGCACCCATTCCTCAACATGATTACTTTGTTAATCTTCTTTAACCCTTACACAGACCTGCTCTGCTCAAACCGGATGTCATAACTCGCCTGCAGCTCATTTGTAAATAAACGCCCCTGAAAAATGTCGACTGTATTTTTGTCGCAGCTGCAGTTTTCAGCTCAGATTTGCACACTCAGACATCCCGACCTCTGAATTTCACATTTACACTGTATCCCTCCCTCCCTGCTGTTATTACTCTTTGCCCAGGGTGCCTTGTAAAGACTGGCTGCATATTCTGTGATGCTAAGCAGCAGAATTTTGCAAAGACTTCATGCATACGACTCATTAAGCAGCCATAATAAATGTCCACAGAGAGCTCTGTTCTTCAGCGTTAATATAATGTTGATTATGGATTTTGTTTGAGTCCTGTCTTTGAACGGTTGGAGGTTTTGAATATGCAAAAACAAGGCTAATGATGTGAAGACGCTGCGGCCTGGTCCGGCCTTTAATCTCGCTCTATTCATCTAATCCCCTTTTTTCCCCTTCAAAGCCTCCAGAGCACAACAAAGCCCGAACGACACACAATTTTCACCACAACAGCTCTGAAAATGAATATCTTCACGAGTTATTATCACAGCTGATGCCAACCATTTAAAAATATATGTTTATTATGAATATCTTTATTGTTTTAAAAGTGTCGATAGTATGAGAGTTTGAGCAGAATCAAACTGCAGATTAGGAATGAAAGGAAACCGTTTATGCAAAAGGGAGTTTTTTTTTCTAACACTTGGTCACAACTGAGTCAAGACGAACTTCGAGGGTAAATTCGGGGTTTCCTGTTCTACGACGCGGGTTCACTTCTTAGCGAGGTGAGTCTCCATGGCAACGTACGCTGAACGGCTAGCCTGCTCCGGGGCAGGTTAGGTTCCAGATTGAACTCACCAAGTAGAAAAACCCCGCCCACTGACCAATGAGCTCTCTCGAAAAATGGCTTGTCCGTTCTTGGAGGATCCTGTAGACCTCGGTGCTCGCATTGTCCGAGGAGGAGCACTCCGGTGTGCGAGAGTTTTCAGGGACCGCATGGACCCACTTGCTTTTCCAGATGACCACTTTTATGAAAGGCTCATATGGCGGACAGATCACACAAAAAATGTAAACACGATAGGAATGAACAAATGAATGAATTCATCTTGGAAATGAATTAGACATGTCTGGTCACCTTAGTTAAAAGCGCATGTTGAACAGTGCTGTTTCAGGGTGATAATCGCACCAAAGATTAATTTTCTGCCAGCATTCCTTCCGTGTTTTTGCAGCGGCGATGGTGTTGCTTTTGAGGTTTATGATAGATTTGAATTCTTCATACTTTCTTATGATCGTCTCCTGCTCCTCGTTTGTAAAGTACACGCTCTCCGGCCTGCTCTGACGCTCCAGACTGGTCCATGTTCGCGATTGGTCTGATGCGGCGGGCTCTGCCTTACACGCGTGCACGCGCTCATAGCAAAGCTGGATCCACTTACAAGGTTGATAATTAGCACCGTAAGACCGTTTAGCGAGACCGCTGGCTACTGCACTAAGTTGAGCGAGGTAGCTCCAAGGCTACCTCGCTAGGTCGAACTTGCTTTGTAGAATAGGCCCCAGGTAGGTTAACTTTGTTCACAGACTGAGAAATCCAAAACACAACAAACAAAAAGAGAAAGAAAGAAAGAAAGAAAATTTTCTAATGACTGAAATCTGCAAACTACAAGGTGCACACTGACACTGAACTGCTCCTGTGAGACAGAGGGATGAAAAATACAACAGATGTTTCAAACTGAGGCTAAAATCCCAAAATAGGAAAACAAAGTTGTAATTCTACGAGAAAAAAGTTGTAACAGACATCCGTCGGACTTGTTGCGGGGACGTGGCAGACCGGTGTAGCTCCTCAGAGCCTGCGAGTCCTGACAGATCTCTTGCTGCCATCCACCCAAAGCCAGCAGGGGGCGCTCTGTGTTCCTGCTCAAACCCAGACCCTCTGATGTCTTGTCCCCTACAGCCAGAGTCACACCGTAGTTCGAGCCCCTCTCCACGCCTCGACAGGTTTGATTTTCTGAAAAGTAGCTGAGAGAAAAACACAAAAATCACCAGTGTGTGATCAGCAGAAACAATCCTGTTTTTATGACCCACATAAAAAAAATCAGCTGTTTATGATCCACTGACACACGATAAATCACTGAGCTTTATCGCTGTGAACTAACCTGAGGTGAAGGAGTGGGAGCGGTGCCTGTTGCTGAGCCAGTCCTGATGGCTGCAGAACCGGGGAGTGAGGAGATACGGAGGTGTTTTCTCTGAGAGTCCCAGACAGACGGTGAGTCATTGTCTGCTTTAGACGGGTTTCATCATCACCACCATCGTCATCCTCTGCAGACAGACAGACAGACAGACAGACAGTTATTAAAAGCTGAAGTATTAACACCGGCTCAAAGAAATGAATATTAATCATGTGAAAGTCCACTAAAGTACTTTGTGGATGTGTCTCGCTGGTCTTCTGCTCACAGCTGCTGCTGGTGATGTTTGTTTACATGCTGATCCCTATTCTTATACATACGTACTGATCTATTTTACAAGGTTGAATGTCAACACTTAACCTCAACAAGTTTCATAACATGATATATGAACGTTTGTCTAAAAGACTGGAGGCAAAAGGAAGTAACAGGATGAATGAAACTGTCTGTGGTCTCCTCTTCAGAACGAGCTGGATTTGCATACCAACTGTTATTGAAACCGTCCATAAAGACCTTCAGGAAACAGCAGCTAATGTATCTGAATAGGAACCATTCACTCCACCAGCTCTGGCCTCACAGGCAGAAGTTTTGGGTCATTTCATGGCTACAAAGTTGTGTAAAAAGTAACACAAACTCTAGAAGCAGAAAAAATGAGGCGGAGGTTTTTTTTTTTTCTAAGTTTGGAATCATGCAAAGCGTCTCTCCAGGTGTCCCAGACTAATGTAATGAAAGTTGAAAGTGTGTATTAGGTCTCCTTTAATAAAGCCTATATTTGATGGATGCAGTCCAGACAGCGAGGATCTGTTGCTATGGGATACGGCATGATATCTAAGGCTTGAATACAAAGAAGAAGCTGAATTTTCGACTGATTTAAACTCTTAAAGTACTAAAAACAGGGAGAATCAACTAACAGTTTGTTAACCTTTCAGAGATTTTCATTTCTTTCTCTTTAAAATATGATTTTTGGAATCTCAGTATAATATTTATGAAGTTTACAGGCGGAAATCTGCATTTAATCCTTCATTCATTTACTGTACAGAGTCATACTGATGTCAAACTTTCCAGGATGAAGCTCCTCGACAAGTTTTCCGATGAAGTTCACTCATTTCTTTAACATTTACACTTTAATGAATCTTTTGATTTTTATATTTTACAAAACTGACTCTAAAGGCGTCACAGAAATCCTCATGGGTCTGTGCTGGTTTGATTTTAGTGTAACAGTACCACAGCTCCCCCTAGTGGCACTCAGTCCACCTGCAGCAGTCATTCATGTTTTTCTACTGAAACATTACTACACTTTAGAATAAAATCCTGAACTCATTTTGTAACTCGACAACCCCCTGGAGGGTAAACACAGAAGCAAATCCAACTCAGAGGATGAAGTCATTGTGGGAAAAATGAATCAAACCTCTGTTTAATCAATAACCACTGAAGAGGATCCTCGAACCTCTGAGTCTCTGAGGGGGTGTACAGTGACCAACAATCGAGGGTGGAGCTTCCTCTGAGTGTGAATGAGGAGTAGATAAACCCTCTAAAAGGTAAATATAGTTTCTGTCCTCACCGCAGCAGGATGAGGAGGACGCTGCTGACAGCTCCTCCACACTCCTCACAATGACCTCTTTGGTTTGGGAGGCGCTGAGCGGTTTGGGCCTCAGGATTGTGGAGGTGACTTCATGCTGGGAGGGGCAGGAGCTTCTGGAAAGACTGTGGCAGGCGGGGCACGGGGAGGACTTACTGTACGGGGGAGGGAAACTGAGTTTATTACTGTGAAACATTTACTCAGAATCAGAATCTCTTTATTGTCCAGTAAAGGGAAATTAGTTTTGCAGCAGGGCTCACAAAAGACAAGTACACAACGACAACTTAATTTTAAAAAACACAGAACAATTAAAAACATAACAACACAATATCAGAAACACAAAACCACCTAAAATTCAGTCCAGAGCTCAAACCAACAATAGAGAAAAACTACTACCAAGTAATTAAAAGTGCAGTGTGTGTTTACTTCAGAGTAAAACGGATCTAAAACTATTTATTAAAAAACTGTTAAATCAGTAAATCTGACAGAGATGGAGAAGTCTGAATCATCCAGGACAAATGACAACGATGAGACAGACTCAGTGTGATCTTTAGGAAAAAACAAAACAAAAATCACTTTAAAATAATCTTAATTTATAAACGGTAAAAAGACAGTTTATTAATGTTTAATCATCAATTAAAAACAGCATATAGACCAATTATAAATGGCTAATAGATTAAAGTTTATTAATGTAAGTCAATAGTTACTTTACCATTAACAAGCAGTGAAATTATGATGTATATCTTATTTAGTATTAATATTTATTATTTAGTTTTTAAACCATCTATAAACATTATTCAGATGTTATTGTAAAGTTAAGGTTAGGTTTTAATTTATTAAAGTCTATATGCTATTTGTAAATGATGATTAAACATTAATAAACTATCTGCTTACCATTTATAAACGGTCTATTTACCATGTATGGGTTATGGGTTATTTAAGTGTTACCTAAAAATCTTTTATTTCTAAACTTTAATTTGACACTTTTGGGCTCATGTGAGAGAAATAAATATCAAACTAAAGAGAGGTAGACAAGTTTCACAAAATCCTTTCAGCTGCTTTTTAATCACGAGAGATTTTTTACCACAAAGAGAATATTCCTGATATTAATGAAGGTTCAACATCTAACCTGTGTTCACTTGTATTTCCATCATCCACTCCTTCATCATGAAGCGAGACGAGGCGTTGAGCAGATATTCAGAGCCCGAGGGCCTGAGATTTTTATTACAATCTCCAGAAGCACACAGCTGACTCTCTGTAGATCTGCAGAATCTATAAAGTGTGATTCAGAGTGATTAAAGTTTTACTGTAGTCGGAAACAGTTGGGCTTCTTGGTGTACTTGGGTGCAGGTGTGAACTCAGGTTCAACAGGAGGCCAAGGTGTGTCTCTAGAGGATGGCGTGGAAGCTGTTCCAGCCTCTGGAGGTGGCCTGTGAAAATATGATAAGGTTGGTGCTGCTGACTGTGAGCTTCACGTCTGCTGACACAAACCCTGAGCAGATCCCCTTTCTTACTTTCTTTCCTCCAAACTGCAGCTTGTGTTTCCTCTCCAGAGTTCCCTCCATGGACTGCAGCTCAGACGTCCCACTCTAAGAGGGTTAAATTCACAACGACATTCAGACAAAAGGAAAGAAAAGTCCCTGAACACAATGCAGGGACTCTCACAGTGTGATACAGCGCCCTCTGGTGGCCACTGACTCTTCCTGCTTCTCCATGATGTCCAGGACCTGAGGGGCGTTTCTGTGCTAAATCTGCTAACATGGTCATCCACACCATATAGATTGATCATATATGTGGATGACCATGTAATAGTCATCCACATCTGCTCTATATTGATCAATCTCTATCTCTGAGAAGTAGAAAATGGATGGATGGACTTTCAAAATCAAATAAGAAATTAAATAAATAAATAATTATATATAAAATAAAAACTGATTGAAAAGTGCTGGGGCAAGCAGTGACTTCCAACCTGTACAGAGAGTCCTAAGAGTTAATAAAATATGAAATCAGAAGATCGGCTGTAACATTGGGCAAAAAATAAAAATGTCTAAAATAACGAGAAAAAAAACTGTTGCAGAAATTATGAACTTAACTTGAAAAAGAAAGCTCGTCTGAGGATGAGGCCAGAGACTTTGCTTTACTGCAATCTGCGTTGGATTTAATCTATTAAGAAAAGGCTAGAGGTGCTTTCATCAGATCCAGAAGAAAATGTCTAGGTGAAGAAGTGCCCATCCTGACTGGGCCATGTTGTGTGGACTGTATGTTGAATAAAGAGACGCTGCTTTAAAAGTAACTGAGTTTTTATTTGGTTGTTCTTTTTAATTCTACATACTTTGTTCAAATGGGAAATTAAACTGAAAACACATCAATATTTCTTTTAAAAACATAAGTACTTTTACCAAATTCTTTACAATTACTATTCCAAAGTAAATTCACAGACAAACTCGTGGAATGATATCATAAGACAGGGGAACAGTCATATATGTTCAAGTCCAGTCAGTAGTAAACAATTGTAGCTTTATGTAAGTTACACTCTTCCCAGACATGATACAAACGTGAGCGACAGTGAAAGGTAAAGAAAGACGAAAAAACCTAGACCTGAACTAATCTGAAAGTTGACCTCCACCTCTGAGCTTCTGTGATGCCAAAACGATGTTACAGTGAAGAAGTCAGTTCATGATGATGGAGAGAGTAGAAGAGAGAAAGACGCTTTTAGAGAGGAACGAGCCTGTTTGTGAAAGCGTCCTACACGGTTTCAGTCGTCATCAGGACAACAGAAAAAAAACGTCTTTCTTAAACTTTATAAAAGGAGCCAGCTCCTGTGAGTAAAAGTACAAAACAATCTTCCATGTGGAGGAAACTAAACAATTCATGTTGAGTTTGTGTCACTTGTTTTAAATGTAATGCTGTGGTTTAATGCTTATGTGATATCTAACAGCTCAATTAAAACGAAAAAGAAGAGCAGAAATTCACATTAGAACAAAAGAAAAACAAGCTTCTTTAGATCTAATATCTGAATGTGAAAGTGTGAAAAAGAAATAAAGTGATTTTCTCGTACTAATGCCTGGGAAAAACTAAGTGTAAGTCACATAAAATTACTAATGAAAGGGGGTTTAAATGAACAAATTTACTCTGTTTTCTTTTCAAAATAAATACAACACAAAATGAAGAAGTAATCATCGTATCCCCAGAAGACACCCTGGACATTAAACACCATTACAGAACTACAGAATAGAATAACAACAAAAGGGTAATTGCACTTTTTTATCTGTCTAATTGCACTGAGCCTCGTGGGTAATGAAGTTTCAGAGAAGCTTCTTGTTTCTAGGTCTTAAACCAACTTGTCACACAACAACTCCCTCGGCTCAAATTCCACATTTAAATCATATTAGACTCCAGATCTCGTGTCACGATGGGGCTTATACACAAGTACAGTTTGCACTGTTGCAAAAATAACCAAAACAAAAGAAAAAAACAAGCGCAGATTCATTTATTGCTGCTGCTGCTGAGCAGTAATCGTCAGGTATGTTTGTTGGACCTTTGTTGTTCACAGACACTTGACTGGTATCAAAGACGGTTTTAAAAATGCCTGCGTGTGTGTGTGTGTTTGTGTGCGTGTGTTGTATGTGTGTGTGTGTGTGCTGCTGGAATGGCTGTGAGGCTCAACATGAGCCTGGCATCACTGTGCTCCCACGTACACAAAAGCACTTACAATGACTGTAAGCACAAAACACATTATCACCCCGAGAAATCCACTGCTGCCTCTCTCAGACCGCACATCCAACTTCTCACCAGCAGAGGGCGCTGCAGTCCGCTCATAACCGATTCAGACCGTCTGTCACAGGCTGCGAATGTGTGCATGCACTGCAGTCCTTTTATTGCAAGATAAATGATCCGCTTGCTGATGAAAATAAATAAATAAATTTGTTTGCATTGTTCAGGCTGTGCTTCTTTAGGAGAGAGGAGAAAAGTCTGGAACTACTCGTCTCATTATTACAATATGAGTCTTGAAGATAGAAAGCGCTCAAATACGATGAAACATTAGGACTCCCTGTGATCAAAATCTAAAAAAGACTTCACGAATTCACGATGGAAGTCTTCTAGTCCTCACAAGAGGCAGAAAACACTGTGAAACTGAGACCTCTGCTCGTCTGAAATGCTGTCCGCTGAATACAAGAGTAGCAATCGAACACTGGTTTTATCATAGAAGCTTTGTGCTGAGTTCTGCAAGAAGAAAAACAAGGAAAAAAAGGAAAACTAGAAGACACTTACGCCGAAACTGAGTCTGAAAGGACTAAAGTAAGTGTAAACTTTGAACTGAGGCTTCGAACAAATGAGAAGAACAACAAAACTGAGACACTGAGTGAGACTTCTGCTGGTTTGAAATTCTCGCTCATGCAACTCTGTAAATATGAACTCAAAGAGTATAAACTTTGTGCTGAAGTGTGTTAAAAAGATTGATTCTGACCGCAGAGCGACGACAGAGCCTCATCACACACATACTCACACACTATCAACGCAGCGCCTGCATGATGAGAGCACTCGGAGGGCAAACTGATAAAATTAGGCAGCTGTGGATTTCCCGAGCGTATCCTGTGACGAAGCAAACAAATCAGACATATTAAAAACTGCACAGGGAATATCACTCTGTAAATACTGTGTCATTCACATGATAGAAAAACATGAGTGACGCTGTTTATGCCAAAAGGCTCTCGTTATGATCTCAAGACGTGGAAATTTTCTGGCAATTTCCTGTGACCAGTAAAAAAATGTTGTTTGATTATTATTGTTTTTTATCTTTTATTTATTTTTTGATCATTTTTTAAAAAGTTTACATTCTCAAAGCCTTCAGAAAGTTCATGTTGGGGTAGAGAAGTCATGTGGCTGGATTTTCCTTTTTTTTTCTGCAGCCATGAGCCTGATCTTCAAAACTCCTTTTTGTCTCTAGTTTGACTTTAAACACTCAGCACAATTCCTTTTTTCACCCCGTTTCCTTTTTTGTCATCCATGGGAGGGATTTACTATGTGCATATGAGGAAATGCGACATCAAATCAAACAGGAAACAAACATTTCCAAGTTCTTTTGAGTGTGCTCTCCCTCACGTACAACATTTAAGACTCAAAGAGAAAATAAAGAGGAGCGAGAAGAAGGGAGGGGACTTTGTTCTGGGAGCGAAAATCAAAAGTGCTTCGATG